TTGCGGGCCACTCTTGTATGACACTCTTGTGTGGGACACTCTTGCGGAACACTCTTGTGGGACCCTCTTGTGGGACACCCCTGTAGGACACTCTAGACTCTCCTCCGACGCTCGTGTATTTCACTCTTGTAGGTCACTCTTGTGGGACGCTCTTGCGGGTCACTCTTGCGCAAAGCTCTCATGGCACAGTCTTGTGGGACGGAGCACTCTTGTAAGACACTCGCGCAGGTCACTCTTTTGATTCACTCTTGTATGGCATTCTTGTGGGACACTCGTGCGAAACACTCTTGTAGGACACTCTTGTGGGGCACTACTAGTAAAGCCTCCAAAAGTCAACCGCCACGTTTCCGAAACGCGCTTTTCCTACGAGACTTGCTCCAAAAGTCACACGTCAAGTCTGCAAACGAGCCTTTGGCACGAGACTTCCCTGTAGATCAGTTGAGACAAGTCTGAAAGAATTAGATAACTTCATTGCTTTAGATAAAATCTTATCCATTAGGTAACCATTGTTTTTAGCTATTTTCATTGCTCAAAAATTTAATTTGTTTCTGCTTTAGGAATACTCAATAGAATTATGTCAGATAACTCAATAGTTATCTGGGTTAACTCATAAAGTTAACTTTTTAAAACGCATTAACTCTAAACAACCTTTAGTACCAGAAATAGACCCGAAGTGTAACAAGATTCTAAACATGTGTAACTCTTTCCGAAAAAACAACTTGCAATTGGTTTCCTGAAACTTGTGCCACGTGTGTTTTAGTTCCACCAAATGTACAAAAGTAATGCCATGCATGTGTGCTGAACAAGTGCTTTTTGTGCAGGAGGCTGCCTGTGTTTGCCTCTGTACACATGGACCTTTCAGATGTCCATCTGAAAGTGCATGCCCAATCTGTAATGTTGCACCACTTTGGCGCATGCATGGTGTGGGTTCTCCCCAAAGATGCAATGTGCACACCAGGTCTTTACTACTGACATGTAGTCTTCACCTGCGAAGCACCATGTTCTTCTAGGGCGGATTGCGCTAGAGATTGCAGCTATGTGCAGCAAACAGTTAAGATTACTGGTGTAACAAAAGAGGGTAGGGAGATCTTCCTCCCGCAAAAAAGTTCTGTAAAGCAGCTCTTGCAAGTGGCACCTCTGCTGGCAAGCTCTGTAGAATTCCGAGGCTGCAGCAGGAGGAACGGCATCTTCTGACTTGTGTTCTTCAAAGATATCCTCCATCGTGCACTTTAGTTTCAAAAGTACAAGGATCTGCCTGTGAGCCAAACCATTGGGTTCAAGCGCTCTTGCCACAGCTGGAGAAGAATTGGCAGGATGCCCTTGGTCTCAAAGCCTTCACCTCTCAGCTTGATGGCACCAGCCTTTGGGAAGTTTCCCAAGGAACTTCTATCGGTGTAAGGTCACTTGTATTGGCGCTCCTAGTAAACCTGCTGAATCCTGGACCAAAGCCTTATTTGAATGTTGGCTTCTGGCTCTTGGTCCATGATCACATAGCAAAGGAGCCAAAGAACACTACCAAAGAGACATTGCAGCAAGAGGCTGCTTGGGACCTTTGAGGCCACTCTCTCCAGGCAAGTGGGGTCCAAGTTGTGGATCTCCATTGGGCTGTCTCACTGGAATCATAAAAGGTCCTGGGCCCTGTGGCACCAGCCTAGCATATGGCACAGCAAGTTAGATTTGCATTCCACTGTGGCACCCCTAGATACTTTAAAAGATATTCAAGGCCACGACCAGAAGCCCCTTCCAGCCATTAGCTAAGGGCTGGCCAGCCAGCTTGCCAGCCAAGCTGGAAGCATCAAAAAACATTGTGTTTCGCACTTGGGGCTCCACAGAATGATTGCCCAAACCTTGTCCACTCTGCACTGGCCAAAGAGCGGTTCAAATGCCTAAGTGCACACAAGTACGCAAGTAATGCCACAAGTGCACAAGTAAAGCAAACGGAAATGCATTCATTAGTGTTGTGCACTGTCTCTTTTTCGAATAAGAAGCAGACCCAAAGCAAAGAACACCAGATTTTTTCAAGGTGCTGACCATATGTAGAAGCTAGTTGCTTTGGAGTGCTTAAATCTCAGCACTGAATGCCAAAAGAAGCACAGTTTGCACTTGGCCCAGACATTGCCAACTGAAACTGTGAGCACCGCATCCCCATGCAATGCTAGTGGTCTAGTGAAAGCAGGCTCTGCAAGGAAGGCCACCATGCATGGGCGCTTTTCAGAAGACTTCCAGAACTGCAGCAAGCAATCTTTGCTCACTGTCTGGAATGAAATGGGTTGCAACTTCCGCATACAATGGAACACCTCATGAGGCAACAATATGCTTTGCAAGTACATGCCACCTTTGAAGGGCAACTGGGTGTGGTACCTTTGATTTCTTTTCAACCAGATTTTGCATATCTCGGTTGCAATTGTTGCTGGAAGCCCCTCTGCTTCCCAACAGGAACATTGTTGGCTTTGGCAGTCTTCATATCCCTGACTGCTATCATGGCAATCTTTTTAACAGCCTGCGCTGACAAGATCCCCCAAGACCATTGCTCTTGGAGGTGAAGAGCCACTTCAGGTGAGGGCAGCGCACAAGGACCTTGTGATGTTGCTAAAGGTTGCAGGAGGCGCAGACATGGCCAAACACGGCGATGGAATGGAAATCCTAGATGGAAAGGAAAGTGTAGCTGTGGCTGAATTGTATAATTGAATTTGCATGGGTGGTTTCACCTACAATGCTAAGGACCAAAAATGAATAGTGAATATGGACTTCAGACTTCAGAGTTGTCTTGTTGTTACAAGATGTGGCTATGAACCTTAGAGCTGACTGCAGCATGGCCCTGTGAAATGTCACACATGTGTGGATGGCCAACGCTCAGATGCAAAGTATGTGCAACTGCTTTTGCTGCGTAAGGAAAAAGTAAAAATCAAGCCTTGCCAAACAAGTGCAAAAGTAAGTCCATGGCAGTAGCAATTCCACAGCTCTTTTGTGAGAAGCAAAATTAATTCCATGGCATGTGTGCAAGGCACATGAAGCATGCCAGGGGTGTTTTCCTTTCTCCAAGCTTGTTCCAGCCACCCGACCCAAGGAACATTTCCAACTTGGGGGCATTTGGTGAAGATTGTGTGAAGCTTCTTGTAGCCACCCTTGAAGGCTTCACAAGGCACTGGCAATGCCATAGCATAGTATTGCCCAGCTCAGTAGTCTCTGGCTTTGCATACTGCTTTGATTTGCTCTACAAGCTCATTTGTTTTTCTTTTTTCTGAGCTGTCCATCAATTCCTGTAGAAAAGCTTTGCGCTTTGCTTTCTGCGTGTCAGAACCAATGATTTCTTTCCACAGCAAAGCATCATTGATCTTTTGCTCATTGCCCTGCAAAAATTGCCATAGTGCCCTTCACCTTCTGCGCCCTGTCACCATCACCTTGGCCTTGAACTTTGGAAGCCAGCCTTTCAGTCTCTCGTCATTTTCTCCAAGCAGCTCTTTCCCAACTGTAGTTTTGGTTCAATTTCCTTCCAAGCAACAGGCTTGTCCATCAAAGCTTTCATCGGCTTTGTTTTGGGCGCACTTGGACTGCTTGGCAAGCTGCCCTTCCCTTCAGCTCAAGACCTGCTCCCCATCCTTGCCCCCATTTCTTTGTATTGCTCACCTGTGCCTGCACTGTTTCAAAGTCTGCTCTGTACTCTTCTTTTTGCTTGCCTTCTGAGTGGCAAAATGCCAAAGGTTTTGGATTTCCTTGATGTCATTCCTGGCAGCTGCCTGCTGCATGGCAGCTTCGTTGCCATGAAAGATCTGCCACAGCATGGTGGAGTATGGCATACCTTTTGCGCCCTGCACTGAAGTATGCTTCTCGGTCTTTTGCCTGAATGTTGTGAGTTCATGACTGCCAGGGCTCAAAATGCATTACCTTTTCTTGTTCTTGTGAAAACAGAATTGATAAATTCTGTCTTGAACAGGCGCGGTTTTTTGGATTCTTTGGAACCATCCTTGAAGAGCTCGGTCAGAAGGAGCGCTTTCATCCTTCAGCATCCTGGCCCAGTTTCCGGCCTTTGCATAGTCTCTCTTTGCTGTTGTTTTTTAATCTTCTGGCTCTTCTGGGTCTTCTTCATCTTCACCTTCTTTTTCTTTTCTCATCTGTGTCCTCCAAAGTTCCCCATTCTTTCAATCCCTCCATGAAATCCCTTTTCTTCTTTGATTTGTCATCAACCTTTGGTTCTGTTGCACTTGGCTTCTTGGTTGGAAGACTTGCAGCAGCCTTCTTTTTCGGTGCCTGCATTGGTCTTGGTTTGGCTTTGGCTTTGCTGTCACTCCTCTTCTCTTTTTTCTTGGGCTTGGCTTGCATGTCTTTGGATCCTCTTCTGTGTTCTGTTTGTCCTCCATGGCCAAGGGTTGTGCTCCTGACAATGATGCCCTTTCATCTTCTGATGCTGCTGCTGGCCTTTTCATTGCTGCACAAGTCAGGAGTGCGATGAAATTGAAAAGACAACAGTAAAGCCAAGAGTGAATGTAGTAATGCAACTGTTTGTTTGTAATCAGTATGTCAATCAAAAGAGTCTAATTTTAAGGCCCCTTTTCTCTCCAAATAAGCCTTGGTTTTGATGCACTTGCGTCCCAACTTCATCCACAAAGCTGAGGACACAAGAAAGTTTGGCATCAGCGTGCAAAAGTATGCAGCAACAATACACCAACTTCACATCATAAAGGCGCAAATCCATCATGGCCAACACGAAGAAGATCACAAGTGTTTGCATGAAACCCTGAAACCCTGGTTAAAGTTTGCAATCAAACTTTCAAGAGGCATTGAAACTTTGCATGAAAGTTTTACAAAACTTTCATGGTTCAAAAGGTTCATGAAACTTTTGTTTTGTACTTAGCCTACTTTAAACGTTCAAAAACTAGACGATGAGTGGCCCGAAAGCATTTTTCATCACGTAGGATGTCAGAATGTGAGTTATGTGTTAAGTGTGGGTTTCTGTGTGTGTGTCTATGTCCGTGTGTATGTGAGTCTGTGTATGTGTGTGTTCGTGTAAGTTGAGGCAGTGCGTGGGTGTCTGCATGTGTGTACTGAGAGAGATACGACACGTGGAGGCGTGCTGCAATCGGACTGCCCAGCAGCGCTGCATTGTCGGCGATGGAAGCGTCATACAGGGTTGGCAGCAAAGAGGCAGCTGGAACGAACGCGAAACGAAACGAAACGAAACGCGAAACGAAACGCGAAACGAAAAGAAACGCGAAACGAAATACGAAACTAAACGAAACGTAGGTTTCCTGCTAGTAGCTTCTTGTTTACTAGTAGTAAGTAGTACTTGCCGATGCTTGTTTGTTGCCCCTGTTGCCCTTTGAGCGGCTTTAGTCTGTAATTGTGCGTTGTCATGTCAATGCACAGCCCCTCCCCGCTGTGCACAGTGGCGCCCTCCAGCAAACTACATTGGCACCTCCCAGTACAGGAGACAGTTGCCCGCCTCCTTGACTTGAAAACCTGGAGACTGACAAGCCTCCATAGGCTTTGGAGAACGTTGCCTCCTTGCCTATATGCAGATGGGTGCAGGAGAAGTTAGCCTTCTAACCTTGCATGGCCCACTGTGGCACAGGAAAAGTAACAGTAAGTTGCTGTGTCTTGCCAGACCTGTTTTCCAACCGGATTAGGCCCAGACACTCTTCAATTTAAAAAATCTATGTATGTAAGGGCAAAGTGCGACATCGTCGACAACAATGCCTGCAAAGCATTATGCCGCCGCATCTCTCCCCAGCCCTGATGAAAATGCCCAGCTCTGCCATGGCTGCCAAGGCTTCTATGAATTCATCTCTCTGGGCCGGAGTTTCTTCAAGCCAATCGAAGCGGATAAGGCCTCAAAGCCCAAGACTTGGCGATGAGGAAAATTGTGAGAGACGACTGAGGCATCGGAGAAAGCTCTTCAGCTAATGTGATGTGAGGCAAGCCAAAGCGAAGGTTGGTGAAACGGTGAACACACTGTGGCACAGGGAGATCGCAGGCAAATCTGCATCACACACCTTGGCCATGTAATAGCAACCATTGCCAGGCATTCCAACCATTGAGGGAAAGGAGTCTGAACTTCAAAGGCACGGCTGCGACAGTGACGTGAACACAAGACAAGTGACAAGTGAGTGAAGGCAGTGTGCTACTGAGGCTGCAGCAACTGGCCCAAGAGAACATTATTTTCCCCTTCTAAGCCGCTCACAGACTTCAAGTCAAGATGTTCCAGAAACGACTCTGGACTTAGGATTGGCCAGGGCAGTGAGAGTTTCACTGCAGGCTCCCAACACACTGCCACTGGATTCAGCGGCAATGATACCCATCGCAAGTCAGCGACACAAAAATACCTACCAAGCCATGCTCGACCCCGAAGCGTCGGAGCCGGGCTCATCCTCATCCTTCTTCTTCTTGGTCGTCTTAGTCTTCTTAGACTGGGGCTCTTCCACGCCCTCAGGATTGGCTTCGTTGTCCTTCTCTGTAGCCTCGGCATTCTTGCCGCGCTTCTTAGTCGTCTTACCCTTCGCCTTGGCTTTGGCTTTGGGCACCGCCTCTGGCTGCTCATCCGTCTTGGCGATCTTCATCTCAGGGATGTAAAAGGTGGATCCGTCTCGCTGCTGCTCTTCAAAGATGAACTCTGTCAACATCATCTCAAGCTTCCTGCAGTGGGCGTCCGCGCCGCAGACTGCCAAACAAGGAAGGCGAGAAGCCATTGCCGCTTTCAGCATCTCTCCTGCAGGGTTTGCCATGTTGATTCGAGATATTTACATGAGATAGTATACTGACTAGTTAGCTCAAAAATGTCAATTGACATTGGTGGAGTGTCATTTTTACATTGTTGGGTCCTTGCGCCGGAGATGCGTCCACAACTCCGATTGCGGCCAATGAAAGCAGCATCTCCATATAGTACTCCTGCGGCAGCATGGAACAGCTGAACACGCTCTCAAGCTCCCCAGCTCCCGCAGAGCCGTCAGGTTCGCTGGTCCCTCGCTCGCTGGCATCATCGGCCGGCTTGGCCAAGGACACGTGCCGCGCCCCCAAAACATCGAGTTTGTCCTTCCTGAGTGACACAGAGGGCAGGCTGAATCTGAGACCCTTGGAATTAACAAGCCTAAGCCTAAGCTAAGAGGACATTAATTTTTAAAGGACTAACCCGTGACCTGGGAGCTCGCCACAGCTTTGACGCGCCCAAGCACGAGATGTAGCCGATGACATCGCCGTGGCTGTAGCCCGGGTAGATCTTGCGCTCAACTTCCGGCGTGCTCAAACTCAACGGCTTCTCTGTGTAGAGGTTGCACACCATCTGCTGGCTGTAGGCACCAGCTCGGACGATCTGCTTCCGGTCACACACAGACTTCTCATTGAACATCAACCACACAGACAGCTTGGAAGCCTCCTTGAAAAGCTTTGGGCCAGCGCCCAACGGGTCCACCACAGCCACGACAGTGCCTTCTGCAGGCAAGGAGCAACGAACCTTGTCCACTGCCTGGGCGCCCAAGCCGATACAAGGGCAAGCAGCAAGCTTCTCCACGAGGTCACTGTCCTGAAACGGCAAGAATGAAAACAGGAATCAAAAGTGATCGCTTCAAAAAATGACTTGGAAAAAATATTTAAGGCAAGGAACTGGTTTCCAACGCTTTCCGCGCAGCTCAGGTTGGCAGTTCGGTCCCGAAGATTCCCCAAGCAACGCTGTGTCCAGGTGCACGAGAATCGTTTTCTTGCCAATCTCAGGCTGCAAGCCAGTTGCAGCCTGCCACTGGGAAACTTGGAGCTGCAGCTGGGAGTCATTCTTGCCTTCGGTCACGAAGGTCAGGTACATCCTCACTGACTTGTTGGCTACTGCTCGCCAGGCCGGTCCGGCTTCGCGAGGGGACCCTAGGGATTTAACAGGGTCTGCTCGCTCGCAGAGCCAGACCGGCCCGGCTTCGCGAGGTGACCCTGGACCACCTTGGGCGCAAAGTCTCACAGGAGACCAGTGGGGCCTACCTTAGACCACTCTGCCTCCTTCGAAGCAGGAGGCAGAGTCACAGAGTCAGCTCTGTTGTCCACTGAAATGTCTTAAGGACAGCACAGGCAACCAAAGGTTACTGCCCAGGAATTGTCAGATAGGTGAGTTCGCTAAGTTTTACCTTCAACTCAAGCGGCTGCCGACACTCCAAAAGAACGACCGTAGTCGATGCGCGCGCTAGTCAAAAACTGCACAAACTCAGCCTTTGTTTGGCAAAGGCCGCCTGCTCGTTTCAGCTCGGCAAAGTGCCGGTCACTCTTGTCTTTGACAAGACAAACAACATTTTTTCGCACTTGGTCCATGGCTACTCCAGACCATAGTTTCTGATCAAAAACGGCCCACCTCAAAAGCTGAGTCATGGCCGGCTCTTCTTGTTTGAAGTCTGGTGTGCAATGAATCTGAGGCCACTTCCGTCTCAACGCAGCAAACTTCTGAGAGCAGTATTGAGATCTCATTCCCCCACGCTTCAGAAGCAATGAATGAGAAATAACACAGCCCCCCGTCGTCGCGGCCATGAAATAAGCCTTCAATGGTACATCAGAGTCATCCACTACAAAGACGGAAGCAGTTCGGATGTCCTGGCCAGTTCCATGAGAATAAAAAATACTATGGTTATTACATGTACTTACGTTTGCTATGCTCAATTGACCAAAAATAGAAACATATTATTAAGGTCCTCATGTGGCAGCAATGGGTCGCATGTGATCGGCGGCAAGCCACTGGCAAACCAGGCCTTGGCAGGCCCCAGAGATTGCCACCTCCAATCGCATTTCTTAGTTGTGGAAAGAAGCTGACATTGCCGCTTCTGCCGTTTCAAACGCATGGAGCGATCCGCTTTGGAATCCTCTCTGGCTCTCTTCATTGCCTCCTGTTCCAAACTCAAGCCTTCCGCAGCATCCACACCATGGTAGTAGCCATCACGATGTGCTTCGATCTTCTTCTTCCGCGCCGTCTCGCGCGAGGTTGCAAGCTCCTTTCACCGGGCGGAGCGCAAAACTTTGAAAGCAAACGGTTGAAAAAAACTTTAGCAGGATAAACAAGCTCAAATGCCCTGTCCTTCTGAGCTCTGACAGATAAATTCGCAATTGCCACAGGTTCCTGCCCAGAAGCTGAGCTCTGGGCAGCAGCTGCTTTGACAGAGGCACGCCTGCGGTTGATCCAAGTTTTCTCCACCAACTTCCCAGCCAACTTCGTTCGAGGCCCTCTCTTCACTCCCTTGTCAAAACGTTTGCCTTTGTGCTGGCCCAGGTGTCTGGACACTTTGCTTGCGTAGAGCTCACGAGCTTTGTCCACGACCGAGGCCAAAGGAGTTGCAGAGGAGTCAGTGTATGTCAAGGAAACCATGGCTCGACGCTCTGATTCGGCTGCCTTTGGACCAAAGTGTTTCGCTCCCTGGCTCCTCTGAGCCTTGGAAAAGGCCTGCTCCACCCCAGAGCTAGACGTTGTCCAGCATGCGTGTGCGCGAAGCAACGGGGCCAAGTTCTTGGTCTCGTATTTTTCCTTCAGGGCAGAAGACGCTTGGCTTCTTTTCAAAGCTTGTTTCCATGCATCCCGGCTACTGCAATCCTGCTTCTGACGGAAAGCCATGGCCACTGGGCGAAGAGTTTCAAACTCAGAGACAAGCCCTTGCTCATCAACTGCAAAGCCGCAGCCAAGCGGCGAAGACAAGAATATCTTTCATCTGTGCGCCGTGCGTCAGAGCGAAGATCTAAGACGCCCATGGAGGAAAACAAATGAAAATGAGGAAACTCTGCTTCGCAAGCCTCATGGCAGAGGTGCACCCATGGCTTGAAGGCCTGCAGGACGGCGCGGCGATCTGCAGCAGAAACCCTGATTCTTTTCTGTTGTCCCCGGTGCTTCACATATAATCCAGGCTCTGATTGCAAGACATCTAGACAATGCTTGCTATAGCCATTGATTTCGAAAACTTGCCCTGGTGTTCCTTGTCCTTCATTGTCCATCAGCCTCAAGAACTCCATGACTGTGTCAGCGGCATCGGCGGCTGCCGCGAGCAGAAGCAACCGTTGCCCCGACACGGCATCCATCCAGGTGTGCAACCAACCGCAATCTTCTTTCAAAGCCAAGATCTTGTGAAGCACCTCAAACATTGGCTGCAGATTGAGAATGAATCTCCCCATTGGCTTTGCAAACGATGCTTCGCTGCTGATAAGCTGCTGGTCTGAGGCCCTGAGCCTCTGTCGATGGCTTCCTGCAGCCAAAAGGAATAGTTGGGGGAGTGGAAGATCTTCTGGGCCACAGAGTCCTTGTGTGTGATTGTGCTGTTGACCACATCTTTCACCTCATTCATGACGTGCCATGGACGTTTGATCAGCCTCACGCAGGCATGGCTGGCATCACGGCCAAGCAACAACAGGTTTGGAAAAAATGGATCTCTCTGCAAGTCATTGTGATCGGACCCCCTCCTTTTTCTGAGCATGTCCGACGCCAGGATTTCAGACGATGCTGCGTCTGTCACCATGATGTGAACTGTCTGTCGGATGTGCTTGAACAATCCTGAGTCAAGCGACCCTGCAAAGCCAGGTGTGCAAAAGAGCTTCACAGCCGTCACAGTGGCAGCCGCTATGTGCTCGGAAGTCTTTCCTTCCACCAGGCGAGGCTGTCCAATGCAGCCGCTGCAAACTTGTAGTTTGGCATCCACCGCGCGAAATCTAATCAAAAGACGTCCTTCCCGTTCCTAGGTACTGTTGAGGAACAATGAGTTTAAAATAATCTTCTTACCCTAAAGTTGAAAAGGGGTGAGTGAAAAGAAGCTAACTAAATTGGTCGAGACACATCCCTCATCAACGTAATGCTTTGGGCAGTAGCCAGGAAAACGCGATAAGAGTGTAAGATGGATTCGCTGAGGCAATAGTGCATCAGCTTTGTTCGAGAAGAAGGTATTCCATCATTCTTGTCACGCTCCGAATGTCCTCGATTGAGCTTGCGCACAAGGTCTTGCCACTCATCTGCACCAGGGGCATGAGAAGTTGCATCTCCAGCCGTGGCGGCCATGTGGTACTTAAATTTCTCATGATGCCGAAACCTCCATGTTTTCCAAGTAGCGTCGGGCTGTAGAGAAAAAGTGGCATAAGTGGAAAGCTGAGCATCACCTCCTGCCCCTTTGTATTTCCCAGCATGCAGTGCGCAGTCTTTGCACCCCACTGTCAAGGTATCGCTCTTGCCTGCATAGCCGGCCCGCAGCCAAGGAAAATTTTTCCTCCAAGCTGAGCCTTTGAGCAGCCAAGCGCACTCAGAGCAGCTGCCAGTTTTGCAATGCTGCCCATGCTCCACCAATTGCTTCGAAGACGGCGACACTAGAGTCACATCAGGCACGGTTTTGGCAGCCAGAGCCATGACCATCCCTGGACGCCTCGAAGAGCCAGTCTGCAGAGGAATTGAATGTCACTACGCAAATGCTCTTCAAAATTTCAATCCAGCACGACGACTGCTCTGCCTGACTTGGAAGCCGTTAAGTTACTACCCCCGACTACTACCATTCTACGCATCGCCGGCGGCGGTCCCCAATTTTTTTCTCGCAAGTCAGAAGGCTATCAAAGCAACTTGTGCCACTTCCGGGTGCTCATCAGGCTAGTGAATTAAAGTGGACTGGTGTCCAATTAACTACATGCCGCACCAACTTCCCTCAGTCAGTGTGGAGTCAGAGTCGCCTTCTACCAATTCACCACGCCGGACGAGCTCTTTTTCGATCTTTCTGGCCAGAGCTCGCGCCTTGTTCTTCATAGGCGAGCATTTTTTGAGATAGCCCCATTTCGCAACGAGGCCGTGAGTGGACGTGTTTCGGAGCAGATTCTTCTGTTTCTGCACAGCATCAGCTTTCACAGCTAAGCTGTCACTGTCCTTGGTAGTAGTGCTCCCTGTCGGCTCCGTCTTCAGAGTGTCCTTGATCACTGGTGAAGACGACATGGCTGCAAAGATCCTGTCTAAGCAGCTCTAAGGAGTGTAAGTTTCAAACTTGCCTGGCCAGTCTACTTTTGAGCCAGCAAAGCAACAATGACAAGGAAGCAAATGCAGAAACGACAATCAGAAGATTTCAGAAGCAGTCTTTCGAATTCCTCCTTCTAAACCCTGGTTGAATATGATGAGGAGGCTGTCCTTGGTGACAAAGGCCGTCCTTGACCAGCGAAGTGTGAGTTGAACTCCGACCTCCTTTGACTAGGAGACTGGCTGCGACTTGTGTCTTGACAGCCGCCTCCTGTGCCTAGGAGATTGCGGAGGCCCCATTTCTATCTCCTTTGATTGAGACTAATGTTTTATCACGCATCCTGGATCCCTGAGCTTGCTTCTTTGCAGTTTTCGTTTGAAGGCGTAGCGTACCTCCTTCTCTTCTCTGAGGTCTCCATGCGCAGGAGACTGCTTGACCTTCCTTCGCTTGAATTGTTATTTTGTCGGAGCCCTTAGATTCTTCACCTGTGTAGGAGTGCGCTTCAGCCTCCTTCACAGTCAGGGCTGCACGTAGGAGCCCAAAGGCTTCCTTCAGAAATAAGATCATAACTCAGTCAAACTCCTTATCGTCATCATTGCGATGATTATTTTATGATAGGCTAGGAGTCTGACAAGGAGGCCGGAAAGTGTTCGAGCCTCCTTGCCATTGAATGAAGCTGATAGGAGACAGGACCAGCCTCCTTGCTCTCTGAATGGAGACAGGAGACCGTTCCAGCCTCCTTGTTCCTGGGTCCTTGATACCCCGACGAGCGCCTCCCCAGCAGCACGCAATTTCCTTTTTAAACACCCGCCTGACAGTGCCATGTCGCAGTCTGAGTCTAGCCGCTCGTCCAAATCCAGCCCCACCTGCCACGTGGCCATGACGACGACGACGACGAGGACCAGGATGAATGATGTCCATCATCGTGCCAGTCGCCCCAGTGGCCGCCTCCCCGCCACAAGGGCGAATGCCAGTCAGCTGCACCTGGATCATTGTCATCGTCGTCGTTGTCGTCAGCGGCGTGGGCAGCTTTGGTGTGGGCATACCACACCGGCCTCTTCTTCCCCTTGTTTGCCTTGTGTCGTTTGGGCTGGTGCCAAGCCTGCCACAGCTCCTGAATGGATCTGAGTTCAGACCCGCGGTGGAAACTGTTATCAGACTATCAACGCTTACTATCGCTTACTTAATAAAGAAACGTAAGAGTCAAAAATATGAAAGCCGAGGCGCGCAGTCTTTGTTGAGACATTCCGACTTCCCCTTGTAGGCGACCTGTTTGCAGACGCGGCAGAGCCTCAGGTCAAGGTTAAGCCGCTTTTTTTCTGCTGGCGCCTTCCGGTCTGGCGCCTTCGGGTCAGGGCTGGCGCCGTCGACGACTACAGCAGGCCCGACTGGTGGCACCGGGGCAGTAGGCCCAGGATTCGCTGGCGCTGAGGCTGACGGGCTCCTCCAAGGCGGCACTGCTGTGTCATCAGGCGGTCCTGCGGCCGGGGTCCCAGGGAGGCGCGGCTGGTGTCGTTGGCCCGACTGGGGGTGCACCTGAGGTGAAGGGCGCCCCCGGTGCCGTTGGTGCCACAGCTGGTGTTGGCACCGCCGCTGGTACCGCTGTGCCACCACCATCAGCTCGAATCGCACTCTCGCCTGCGTTTCGCGCACTCGACACGCACGATCTCCGCAGAGGGTCGCGCGGTGATTTCACAAATCGCGCTCTCGCCTGCAATTCGCGCACTCGACACGCACGATCTCCGCAGAGGGTTGCGCGGGCAGCCGGCAAATCGCACTCTCGCCTGCGTTTCGCGCACTCGACACGCACGATCTCCGCCGCTCTCGCCTGCATTTCGCGCACTCGACACGCACGATCTCCGCAGAGG